TATTGAAGGTAGGGCTAACACCAGGTTTCTCTGGAATTTTTACAGGTAAGTTTTAAAAATCTCAAAAAAAGCAACTCCTGTTGCCTTGCCATGTTAAACTAGAGCAGCAATGAACATGGAGATGGAGGCACCAGCACACTATTTTCTTGATCACAAGTCCCATTTCACAGTCTTAATTGCTACTTATGAGGCCCTGGGTGTCTCAGTCGCCTTAGAAAGCTAATGGTTGGTACAATTTAAATTAATTAAGCAGCATTAAACATTCATAGCCAGGATTTTTAATATCGTAGTCTTAAAACAGTGACTGTACTAACAGATTATTTTTTTTAACAGCTAAGAAGTCAGTGCAGGATGCAAGACCTTGATAAACACTCTCTTACTCAGCTACCAGATTGTTCATACTGCAGTCTGTCAGAGCAGATTGCCAGTGCCAAACAGATATTGAAAGTTCTATTTGATTTATAGATTTCCTCTAGACAGCAAAAAAACCTGTGTGCTTTCTGTGCTTCAGCAGGCACATACAGCAGAAAGTAAGAGAATCACAAGACAAGCCTTGAAAACTGTATAATTTTGCAATCTTTCTCTAAGAATTTAATATTTTTTAAGGGTTTAAGAATTGCATAAGAAGTTGGTATTTCAGAAACAGTATATGACATATTAATAACAAGTTGGCAAGTAAAAAAGTCATTTTCTGTCATGTAAATGCAATACCTAAAGTAGAAATAGAGTTTTCTAAACCAAGTAACTTTGAAGGCAACATGCTTAAGTGAGTAAGGAACTACTTAATTCTGAGGGCACAGGCTCTTTTGTAAATTACAATAGTTTGCATTTAAATTACCTTTAAGCAGATAATCTTTATGTTCTATACAATTAGTAAGAAAACTGTAAATACCTTATCAGGACAGCTAAATGATAATTAGATCCATTTAAAAAACATCTAAATTAAAGGCCAAGGAAGGTTAGCCTAATTTGCTGTTTATGCTCAAGGGCAAAAGTTGAAACAGTAGGTGAAGGATTCATCAGATAAGAAGTGGAAGGAAACATATTAAATAATAGGCATTTAGGAAAGTTTATGTTATGGATCCAAAGTCCACCTACTCATGTAAGAACAGAAAATTTTAACAGCCCCTTGTCACAGAGTTTTGCTTTTCCACTTCTGCTGAAGCGTCATTTAACTTGAGCATTCTCAATGGTCTTTTCTTTAGCTTTTCTTCATCCAAATCTCCAGCTCACTTTTGCTATTCACTGATCAGACAAGTAGAGTACTGGATACACACCTGTTGATGGCTTAAGGATTTTTGCTGGTGCACTCACTTCTATGTAAGTATTCTAGTTATTTGAGCCTTGCTTAAAATGAAATTTCACAATTTCACAACTTTGAAAAAGCACCCCACATACATTCCACTGGAAGGAGGCAGAAGAACATTCAGTCAATAATTAGAAGAAGAAGAAACATAACTCGTTGGAGGAAGCACTGAAAAGCAGGAAATCTGGAAAAGGGAAGAACTTGAATTTGCAAAGATGTGAAATGGGGAGAATCAAGTAATACTGGGGGGAAAAAAGAAGACAAGCAAAGGAAGTTGAGAATGATGCAAAACCAGAAAAAGAAAAGGTTGAAAAGAACTCTTCTTCTCCTAAACAAACAATCATTTATAAATACAGGGGCACAGAGAAATGATAATGACATAAAGGAAAACTGAACAAAGAAAAGAATGACTGGGAAAGAGAAGAGAGGCAGCACAATAGAAAGAAAATGAGATATGGATTTAATAGAGATAGAAGGGAGCAAGAGCAACGAAAAAAAAGCCCACATTTTGTATTTAGATAGTGATATACATTTTTAGTACAAGTTTAATCTTTTGTGGCAGCCATAATTATGCAAAATAGCAATCTGCATCCTAAATATCTAGGAACAGCAGGAGTAGTGGTTTACAGTCTTTCTGTGAACACATACCGTGTGTCAGAAATTATGACATTTTTCACCATGATAGCTGTCATCATCAGTCTGTTCAGAAATACAGTGATTAAGATTTAGCCAAAGATTGTGTAATTTTTATAGCACTTATGTGGCAATGTTCTTGTTCTGACACAATGATTTTTAAATAAGTGTCTGACACTTGATGATATCCTGAAATCAATAAGCTGAGACATAAGCCAGGAGGTATAAAAAGAATAGGTTTGTTCCGTAGTGGGTTGCAATCACTGCTACATCCACTCAAAAAATGCTTTATGCATTACACCATCTCTCTTAGAAGGAGAATAAGGTGTAAATGAAAACTGGCACCCTAAAAGGCTTTGAAGTCTAAAATAGCAGGATTAAAACCAGCTGTACTTGTTGTAGGAGAAGCCTAAGAGAAAACCATTGATTCTCTAATGCTGTCATGGACTCATTTTTTCCAAAGTTTGGTGGTTTATTTGTTGTTATAGTTAGGAGTCATCTCAGATTTCTCATTGGATGTTACTTAAAACACAATACATTGAACTAGTAACTTCAGCTGAAATAAAACACTTTACTGTCCTGAAATGCTTAACCCCCATGACACATGCTGGGAATTAAATTGGCCGGGCTATTTCCCTCAGTACCCAAATTGAAAAGATCTCGAAAGTAGCAGTAGTTATTTACAGCTAGCAGACTCAATTTCAAGCAGGACAAACCCTAAGCCAAACACATCCCCAAAAGCTGGATTAGAAACAAGCTGTATGGAAAATAAAAAATCACATTTCAGCTACAGGAGCTGAGCAAAACCGAAGAAATAACATAGGAAAGTAGCATCTTTTTCTTCCAAAGGATATCTTGATTCTAGTGTTGTGTTGATTATTGTAATCATGTATCATGGTGGCTTGATCAAATAGTTATTGGTATGTAGATGATTCAACATCCAGATGTAGAACAAATCTTTTGTGCCAAAAAATAACCACTAGTCAATAATGACATCAAAATATGTATGATTTCTCAAAAGAAGGATTTGGATAAACATCTTCTAAAATTCTGCTAATATTATATTCAAACAAATTATGATGACTTTCTCCCTCAAGAAGAATAAATAACATGGTAATCTATTTAGAAAACATCCATTCCTTTTTAATTCTCTGCAGATGAATATAAAATATTCTGGTTTATTGAGATGTGCTAGACATTTTCCAAATATTTAAGTAAAAAGGCTTCATTCATGATTGGTTATGTCGGGCACATGAGTATTGCTAAAATGGTAACACTATAGATTTTTTTGCCTGCACTAAGCTTCTCAATCCTCTCTTCAAACATTTGAATAGTGCGATTAGCATCTTCATTTGGCAAGGGAAAATGTTAAAATTCAGATGGAACTCATCTAATTTTAAGCATTATGGAAATTAATATGCAGCTTCCTATAGAATTGAGTTAATCAAGCTCTTATTATTGTGATATCTGCATATATTTAATTATAGCTAGTTCCAGTGCATATTTCATGGAGAAGTTTGTAAGGGTATGCAGAGCATGGCCATTGTCTTTAACTGAGGAACTTTCATCTGAACATTGTAGGTCCTTTTTTTATACAGGACTCTAAAATCAGGAATCAATTTGCTAGCTGAAACAAAGGCTCCTTTCAAAACAAGTACAAGTATCCAGAACTTTCAAATAAAAATATTCTTTACATTGCTAATTAATTTTGTACTTATTTTTCCAGCCTACTATCAAACTGCTATATTATTGCTTTCTTTGCTGCCACCCTATTATCAGGTTGCTTGTCCCAAGTTTGGATACGCTTTCTGTTGTGGGTGAGGTTCTTTCCCATATGACAAGCCTGACAGCTGCTGTTTTGTGGAAAGTTTACTCATTTAAAATTACCACTAGTACTGTGCTGTGGCTCTGCTGCAGACTCAGTGGAATGGAAACAAAGGCAAAGTGCTTCTCAAAACAAACAGAAAGCTGATATCATTGCTTGCGCAGCAGCTTCCCCTGGAAAATGAAAAAGGTGTTTGTAATCCAGCAGTGTGGTTGTGGTCTGTGACCTGTAGCAAATTTAGAGCCTCAGGACACCTGGCCAGGTCTTCCTCTCTTCAGTGCTGCTCTTTGGTGCCACCAGTGGTTTGGGATTGGTAGCTTTTATTCTAAGGTTAACATGTTAAAGAGGAAGATCACCTGTTGTGAAAGTTTACAGTCACACTCATAAATGCTAAGAACAAGGTTTAGATAAGACTTTTCTCCTCACACTTTTTCATAAGCTTTTTTTTTTCCCTGCCTGTTTTTGTTGGGGGGGATTGTCAGTGGTTTGGAGGTTTTGTGGGGAAGCAGGAGGGGCTGGGTGGAGGAGAGGAGGCAGAATAACAGAATAGCTCAAAATAACAGCAGACAAATACAAGAGCACATAAAAAAAGAACACTGTATCATTAGCCTGTGAAAGGGAATGAGTGAGCATGCTTTTTGCATGCTCCCTTAGAAGACAAATATATGGAAGCAGAGAGATTGAGGTCATAAAAACAGTCTTGAACTTCTGCCTTAAGTCAGGGCTGCTGGCAGGGAACAGAAGCAGAAACATGCCTTTCCAGCTCTTTGAGTAACTCCCATGTCACTTTGACGCCCCAATAGAAGATTAAGTTAAACATGGATGGTCTCATGACTCCAGAGTCATGATATAGAATTTAGAGCTTGATTTCAAAATTTAAAGCTTACGTTGCTGTTTGAGACAGACCTCTGGAAAAGAAAAATGTCTGCTCCACTGAGGAATATGTGCATTCTTCATCTATGCCACATAAATCTGGAATTAAAGATGACGAAAAGTACATAATGTAAGGCCTGAATCACTGTTGACATTAAAGTAAGCAGTTGAACTGTTGAAGAAATAACAACCCTAAATTTAAAATTCAGCTGTCGTATTGATGAATTACATTAATTTATGTGCATACATATCTCAAGAAACAGCATCAAAATCAGACAAGAACAAAACAGAACAGTGATTATGTAGGACCTCAGAGTACACTGAGAACTATCTACCATAGATACTGGGTATATTTATTAAAGAAATTGTTGCATTTTTCTTAATATTTCAGCTCCTCTGTGACAGATACTTCATACAGGAATAGTTTCTTAAGGTACAGTGATCCAGTGAAACTCTGTGAATAAAGGAAAGGAAGACACATATATACCTGCTGTACTCATTGAACAGAACTCATCTGTATTTCATATGCAATAAAATTCATGGACAGATAAAAATGCAACTGTGATATTATAGTACATGTTCCATAAAACACGTTTTAACTTCTTTTTGCTTTGTTATCCAGCAGTTGTTGTGAAGGGCATCAGCTTTGAATAGGCTGACTAATAAATAGCATATCCAATGCAGGTGTCAGTTTTGGTTGTTAAGATGCTGGAGACCCATTTCAAATGCTGTAGTATTAGGTACCTGACATTTTACAGCTAAGTATTTATCTGAACATTTCAGTGAAATAATTGGGTTTTCTTATGTTCCCTTAATCACAAATAAAATCTTAGGTCCTTTTTGGAGAAAAGTGATTTATTGTTTCAATTATTACTGAGGGATTTCCGAAAAATAATATTATTGTAGCTGAAAGCTTCCTTTTTGACCTTACCAAGGGAGATAAATTCCCCACATTTTCCTGCAGAGAGGACAGAAAACCTGTCAGATTTCACTTACAGAGTGAGCCTTCCTTTCTTTTCTTTGTTTTGTTATGCAAAGCTAATCCGTTGCATAGAGGAGAGGAGTAAGCTTGATCAGTTGATCTTACAAAAAAATATTGAGATACAACAACTCACTTCCCCAGAGATGCTGTTACCTCCTCAGAGTTCAAAAAATTACTTGGAAGCAGATTTTGGGACTACTGCCTGCTAACCCTGAACAGGTGTTACCTGTAAGGAACAAGAAATAGTCCACTTCTACTATGAATCTCTGCATTCTTCCAGGTTTTCAACAGAAATGTCCACAGGATGTCATCAAAAGATGTCTTACAGATCTCCAAGCAGACCAGGATTTTTCAATTTTTTATTTTTTTTTTAAAAAACCCACAGTAAATCTCAACTTTTTACCGAAAATTTAGCTAGCAACTTCAACACTTATAAAGCTTTGGTTAGATTCTGTGGAAAGTTCTCTCTTTAAAATAAATGTTGTATTGGGTCTGATTAATTTTCTGGAGTTAATTTTCCCCCAGCAGCCCACACAGTGTTGTGCTTGGTGTTGGTAACCAGAAGAGTGTTGATAACTCACCAGTGCTCTGGCTGCCTCTGAGCAGTGCTGGCATCACTGCTGTCTCTTAACTTCCCCCCTCTATCAGGGGTTTGGGAGGGGGAAGATCCTGGGAGAAGACACAACCATTCGAGCTGACCCAAATTAGCCAAAGGGATATTCCATGCCATATGACATCACTCTGATACAAAAGCCAAGGAAAGGAGGAAGGTGGGAGAAATCCATTATCTACAGCACTTGCCTTCTGGAGCAACCATTGGAGCTTGAAACCCTGGTTCCCAGGAAGCTGCTGACCATCACTTGCTGCTGGGAAGTAAAGAATAAATTTCTTTTTCTCTTTGCTTATGTGAATGAAAACTTTTGCTTTTGCTTTAGTAAACTGCATTATCTCAACTTACAAGTTGCTTTCCATCTTGTGTTCTCTCCCCTATCCCACAGGGAAGGGAAGATAGAGCAGCTTGGTGAGCACCTGGTGCCCAGCCAAGGCCAACCCACCACAAATGTCTTTAGAGAAGAAGAGAGCATTTAAATAAAAAAATAGTAACAGCTGTGTACATCATTAGGTATTTTTCAATCCCTGGTGTCTTCTTTCACAGGTGGATTATTAGAATAGCAAAACATTATTGATGGGTGCTCAATAGTAGCTTGTGGTATATTGATAGCTGATAAAGTTCATAAAGTTTCTAGTAACACTATAGACCACTGGTAATCAAAGAAGAGAAAAGCTTTGTGGAAAAGATTGGCTAGAAAAAGGTGAAAAGAATACAGATATCACAAAGAAGCCAAGTTTCAAGGTTTATTTAGCTCACACTTAAAAAATAGCACTAAATTATAGGGCAGAATAAACTACATACAAAAAGGTGGCTTTTCAGAGACACAAACCATGACTCAATAGTGCAACTTTATTTATCTTTAAACAAGATATTGCAAAACTCTATCAAGTGGGAAACGCCACTACAAAGACAAAGCAAATATTTGGAAAGATGATTTATATCAAGCAACTGTACTGAAATCCTGTTACAAAAAAACAATTAAAAAATTACAAAGCAATGTTTTGTTCCATGGGCTCAGTCCAGCACATTTCTGAGATTCCTTGGCCACACATGAACTGAGGTTCAAGCTTCATTAGAGAAGTCCAGGAACCACTCCTAAAGTACATCACTGTCATGACGGCCTAGAAAATAAAAAGAAGGATACTGCTGACTTTCAGTTTTTCTTGACATAAAATGTTGCACCAGGCTGTGATTTAGAAAATGTGGGGCAGAGCTCCAAAGGTGCAAACTTTAGCACTTGCTTAAGCTTGATTTACAATAGTTGGGATAAGACCACTGTGCCTCAGTGAAGATAATACCTTCCAACACATCTCCGTCTACTTCACAAAGTGTTTCAACTATATTTTTGTCTGGACAGAAATTAAGATGGACTGCCTTATTATTTTTTATTTTGTACATCATCAAAAGCTTATTGATAGTTTAAAAAAGTTGGCAAGGTGAGGAATTTTATAAAGTCAGGTCAGTTATTATTAGAATCAGTTATTATTATTATTATTATGAAAGAAGGAGGAGGAGAAGAAGAAGAAGAAGAAGAAGAAGAAGAAGAAGAAGAAGAAGAAGAAGAAGAAGAAGAAGAAGAAGAAGAAGAAGAAGAAGAAGAAGAAGAAGAAGAAGAAGAAGAAGAAGAAGAAGAAGAAGAAGAAGAAGAAGAAGAAGAAGAAGAAGAAGAATGAATATGATAGGAATTTTGAAATACTGGTGAAATAATATGAGGCAGCATTTGATATTGTAACTTTAGCTATATTCAGTACTATGGGTTCTGCTATTTTCATCAACATTTCTTTGTGACCTATCATATAAACAAAGGTTGTCATACTCAATGGGTCTAATTTAGCATCCTGACATAGGTGAGAGCCTAGTTCCTAATCATATAAAATAACAATAAATCATGTTTAACCATGTTAAATTCCTTTCTCTTCAAGACAGTTCAGTTTTCCAGGTACAGCTGTAGAAGGATGAATCATAAAACTGTGGCTAAACCATGGCTAAAATGGAGCCACATCTTCCTTTCACCACCATAGTTTTCCTGAAGGCAGGGTCTTCTGGAAATGGCATTTTTGCTATGGAGGATCCTCAGTTTGAATATAGAGGAGTTGAATACAGGGCTCTAATGGCATTGTAGGGAAAGTGAAAGCAGGTCACAGCAGTAAGTGTAGGGTATCTGCCTGCAGAGGATGGGAATCTTACCCTCAGTCATTTCTCCAAGCTACAAAATACCCATAGTAATTGTGGCACATTACAAAAGGTGATAGAAAAAGACTGTAGGAAACACACGTCAGCTTCAAAGGGAAGGGGAGAGAATAATTACAGACCCGTGAGACAGTCTGATGTTTGTCCAGTTCCTTTTCAGACTGAAGCCTTAATTGTGAAAAGCGCTATTTTTTGGAGCTTCTGAAGCACGGTGACTGCAAAGGCTTTAAGGCTTCAATAAGAAAAAGGAAACAGTGCCACCTAACTGTGGAAACTGTAGGTTTTTTTAACTCATTAAAGCTGAATGATCAGTTATTTTGTATTTTAAAGCCTGGAGGAGGGTAGTTCTTCATGGAGAAATCCTGTCTGCAATTTAAATATTACCAGCGCCTGTCTTTTTAAAATCATTACTGGAAAAATCTAGTTTTCAGGGAGAAAAGTCATCTTGACTGCACTGCATATGCTAAAAACCTGTGTTTTTTCATTTGAAGGCACCTAATTTGAACAGGATTCATACTCAATTGAGGAGACCATATAGGATTGGACCATGTGTGCTTTAAGTACAATAATTACTCTGATTCAAACATAATATATGTATGAATATGAATACACATATTCATATTCATATTCATATATGCTTTTTCTGTATTTCTTTCCATCAGAAATTGTTCCCAAAATTATCACTTTTTATTCTGTATTAGAAAAAATAAAGCCCTGTGTGACTAATTATCATAGCAGTCCCTCAACTGAGAACAGAATGGGAGTTTTATGAAACTTTTCACCTTTATGACTGAATGTATTTTGCAATGTCAGATGAATAGATCTTTAAGCAAGTATTGGCAGTGTAAATTTCCATCTAGATCTGAATTATACACGTGTAGGCTCACAGCTCAGTTTTCAAAATCATTCTTACCACAAGTACCTGAGCAAAAAATACACACAGAACTTCTAAAACTACTACAACTGTCCAAGTGTCCAAATAAAAAAAATGAAAATACTTTAAAAAATTAGTCAGAACATGAACCATGAAGTTCAGTGAACATCACAGATGTTAAACTGTTATCATATAAACCTGGTTGTTTAGTTTTTTTCTCATTTGCAATGAATTTTTATGCTTGTTTTTACAGTATCTATTATAAATTCAAATGTACACAGTTTGAGTAAATTGTTTTCTAGTTGCAACAAAAAAAAAGATTTGACATGGTGGGGCCTGGAGTTTTACACATGTGTTTGTTCTGAAGACAAAAACACCATCATCTCTTTCTTGGCATCTTATTTTTGTACCTTCTTTGAATCTATTGCTTATCTTTTTACATTACTTCACATTACAAATCTCTCATAAAGCAAAGGGTAAAAATGTGAAGTAAAATGTCCATCAGCCAAAAAGGAAATTTAATTTTTTTAAGAACACAGAAAATAGTGTGCTTTCAGGCATGGGATTTTTAGCTACTTCCTTTGATGTTTCCATTTTTAAAATCTCAGTGTTATTTTGCATGATTTTGCCTAACAATGAGCTTTGCTGACTAACAGTGTTATAGATGAGAATCTCTTTACTTCAAAGACTAGAATCCATCTGACATTTTCAAATAACACTGAAGTATTCAGAAAAGCTGTGTTGCATATTCCAGCATAGTAAAAAGAATCACACTTGAGTCTGATGCTAAACATGAGATATCATGGCCACATTTGACATTTGATATAGGTTCTTAATCAGTGCAGAAATATGCAATTATTTCCCTTTGAACTTTTTAGATTTTTTTAATATATTTTTAGAAAAACATAAGTAAAATATTTCAATACGTGCTAATAGATTTATGTGATCCTTGTTGAAATTTTCTCTCACTTTTTACTTCAGAAATGTGCTGGGAATAATGCAAACACACAGTTCTGGGGCTTGATCCTTAAAGGATTACTTGTATCTGAACACGTAGGAGAACCTTCAATTCATTTCTGCAATATGAATGCCATTAATAGAAGCCTGTCTGTTTCAGGGCTGTGTACTTTGAAATAGCCATATCAAAGAAAAGGGCAAATTGTGGCTGTGGAAAGAGAATCCATAATATATGCAACTGCAAATGTTCCTTTTTCATTAAGTTTCTTCCATTAACTATTAGGTGTTAGCTATACTATTTATGTACACACAGAAAAGTCTTCCCTTGGATTGGAATTTAGTTTATTGCTTTCTGTCTTCAGTTAATAAGTTGGAAAAATGCAGCCAACCCCAGTTTATACTCATGTGGCACTGGGCATCACTCAGCAGGTGGTTAGTAATTTTGTTGGATGTTACTTCTTTTTCTTGCATTTTATTCCTTTCCTGTCCTCTTTTCATTGCTATTACTATTATTGTAAATAACACTATTGCCATTAGTATAATTAAAATCATTAGTATTAGTATTATATTTTACTTTGTTTCCATTATGAAACTGTTCATTCTCGAGTTTTAATTTTTTTCCTCAGTTCTCCTCCTCATCCCACCTGGGTGGGGAGTGGGAGTGAGTGGCTGCATGGTGCTCAGTTGCTGGCTGGGGTAAAATCATGATTGTCCTTTTGAGCACCTGACATGAGGATGCTTCAGCACGCATCACCTCCTGCTCTGGCAATGTTCCACAATCTTGCCTTCTGGCCAGCCTATTATCACTTCCAAGATTCCTGGGCGACCAGGATTTCCTATCCAAGCTTGGGTGATCAGTGTGACCCATTTATTCTCTGTACAATCTGTGGAGGATGCCCTTTTAACATCCAGCCTAGCACCAGGTGCTGCAGTGCCAGGAGAAGCTGTGCTTCCATGTCTTGACTCTTTGCTGAAGGAGCATCTAATGTGACACACCTTCAAAATCAGAATTTCCACCCCAGTCACAATGG